ACACTGGATAAGTATATATTTGCTTTTTGTTTCCATTTTCCTGAACCGGTGTTTCGACGTGATATGGCCGTAAGTCCGTATATGTTTGTAGATAGATAGATAGATAGATAGATAGATAGATAGATAGATAGATAGATATGAACCAGGGTAGAGAGATAGAAAGAGAGAAATAGAGGGGGAGTGTGGTGAACCGAGATAGAGAGAGAAGAGATGAAGCGAGATAGATAGATAGATAGATAGAGAGAGAGAGAGAGAGAGAGAGAGAGAGAGAGAGAATGAGCGTGAGTGAAATGTATATGAACAAAGTGGGTTAAGAAGATATTGATGTTATCTATGCATTGTTAAATGCCAAGGAGTGTACTAACTTGTTACATCACAGGTAAGGCAGGTGTGTCTTTTATGAAAAACAATATTCAACGTCCTGGTTTATGTGTGACCTTAGAACTCTGATACCGACAGAAAATGCACAAACGTAGCAATAATCAAACAGGTACTGAAGAAGAAAACTAACACATGGATGTGTCTATTGACCGTATTTATTTAACCTATATAGCGAGGCAATCCTAAACGAACGAGTTATACATATTTCTGGTGGGCATAACCGTCACAACAACATAATCTTATTTAACTATATTGATGGCGAATATAGAAAGAAAACTGGGAAAACTTCGACCTTCGTGTCCGTAAGAAAACGGATTGATAAAAAGACGGATTTTTCCGTGACACCGCTATTATTTTAACTACCTTTACTCCTCAGCAATGTTTATTGTTTTAAAAGGTGATGATTAGAATTGTAATAAAAATTAAACACATATTCATAATTCATCGAAAAAATATTCTTAAGCAATTATATATATCAAATATCTTCTTCACAAAAGCAATTAAATGCTTTTCTAATTAAATAATATTTTAGTTTTATTGCATTTTTTATTTTACGATTCAGAGCAGATTCATAGTCCTGTTTTACAAATAAAAAAGAATTACTTGAAAAAAAATGTTGTGTCATCATTTTTCTGGGACAAAATTGTTGTATTCATCTGAAAATTTAATTCTTACGAGTGAAGTGAAAAACGCTATATCTTCAATTTTTAAGTTTTATCATGTAGATGCGTAAAGGTCAAGGAAGGTAACTAAGTTATTGAAATGTCTAAATATTAAAAAAAGAAAGAAAAGAAAGACATTATTTGAAACTATTAATTAAAATCTAGATATTTTAAACTACTGTAAGCATTTTAAGACATTTGTGCATTATTCATAATTAATTTTTATTAAGGGTTGGTTTTTCATTTGTTTAATATAGATAGCTTCAAGTTAGATTATGTTTATTATTTTCATGAGAAAGTGTAGATGTATTTTCAACAATATATATATATATATATATATATATATATATATATATATATATATATATATATATATATATATATATCGAAGTGTCCCTGTTGTTTGACTTATTTTAAACGGTTTTCTTTGTCGTTATATTCCAACATAAATAAATAACAATTTTCTTAAATACCATTTGTGTGGAGTGTACAAGTGTGTGTTTGTGTCTGTGCGTTTTTGTGCGGGTGCTTGTTTGTGTGCGTGCGAGACAGGCCTCGTACTTGCAAACGTGCGTCTAGAACAACAATGTCCTGGCAAACAAGTTTTAGTCACAACTCTGTTGAAATTTAATGCTAGCAGGGATGGTCAACGGCTAACGCTTTCTAATGTAGTATTCGTCATATGAACCATTAATCGGTGACGTATTCAGAGATCATTCGTCGCTGATAAAACTTTGATAGCGTGGCTTTATAAAGAAGTTTTTTCTAAAAAGAACCAAAAGTGTTTTGTCATATACTCCAAAATACGCGTGATGCACATTACAAAAGTAAATATATGATTTAGAACTAATATTTACTTTACTATTACTAATATAACAAACATAATAGGCTTACGGACGCACCACATTGCAAAACACGTTCCCGTACGGTTACTGAAGTTAAGCAACGTCGAACCTGGTCATTACCTACATGAGTGACAGCTTAGAAATATCAGGTGCTGTAAGCTTGGATGTGGGAGTGATGCAATGGATAATGGCTCGGAATTGTTAATCGGAGAGCCGAGTTCTAATTCCCATTGTGTTTATTATATTTACTTACCCTTTAGATATTGCTTACTTGGCTTAATCCAACCCTTTCTAACTAATGGTGTAATAAAATCAGTATCTGTCTATATTTTTGAGATGAGGTATTATGTACACTATTTACATTATTCAGACTATTTGTCGCCATATTTATTACAACGTTTCGGGATTCAGGTGGTTGGAATGTCGAACTGAACCCTTTATTTCACTCACTGGGGTAGACTGTTCTAGTTCCATGTGCCATATCTAATGGATGTCAGATATCAGTTATCTCCTGTTAATTCCCCTCTACAAGTTCTCCACCGCTTTACCAGGTATTGAACTCCCACTCTATGGGTTCTGTCACTGGATCTAACTAACCACTGTGCCATGTGTCTTTGAGGACATCTGTGTATGAATTTCTGGGTATTATTGCTTCAGCAACTATTTTTTACATGGCATGTGGAACTAGAACAGTCTACCCCAGTGAGTGAAATAAAGGGTTCAGTTCGACATTCCAACCACGTGAAGAAGGCCGGAGCGTACAACGGACGAAACGTTGTAATTAATATGGCGACAAAGAGGAGTATAGTCCGAATAATGTAAAATAGTGGAGTAAAATATGTAATAATGTAAATAGTGTATTAAAACTCATGTCACTATTCCATTATTCTCCCTAAAGAATTTTCAATATCTAAAAAATTTTCTGTATTTAAATAGCCTGCAAAGAGTTGATAAACCATAATAAAATGAATTAATCAATACTACTACTACTACTACTAATAATAATAATAATAATATTACTACTAATGATGATGGTGATAATAACAATGGTAGTAATGATGACAGTAATAATAATAGTTGTAATACATAATACACAGGCAGAAGAAATAAACTTAATCGCCCAAACATAGGGACCAAAGACTACTAAAAACACAATGTGTTTTATTATCAACATGGCTGTTCTTGAGTTCTTGTTGACAGTAACGTAGAAATTTCAAGATGGTGGTGCATGAAGAGTTCAATAATTCCAGTTGGGTTTGTAACTCTGGATTTGATTCATAAAGACTCATTGAATGGTTCCCTAGCAGCCCATGTCTTAAGGAAAGGCAAAAAGAGCTCTCGCAAGCACGACGCGCAACTTACGAAGGGCTTTATCTATGTAAAAATATGTACGATTTTATAGTTTTATTTTAACTTTTTCAGAGAAATGTGTAGAGAAAAATGTCATAAAGCCATTTCTTCAAATTATCGCCCTACTAGTTTGTAACCATTTAGTGCAAAATTCTCCAAGCTCTAATCAATGCCGAATTGTTTAAGCGTCTTACTTCTCATGGTCTCCTTTTGGACAAACAATATGGCTTCCGTTTCACCAGGTCTACCTCCAACGTGTTAACCACCATCAATGAATTTGTCTATCGAGCTTTCGATAAGAATTGGCGAACTACGGGCTGTGGCTCTAGATATCTCAAAATCGTTCGATAGTTTTTGGCACAAGCTCAAGTGTTATGACGTCACGCGACAAACGTTTGGCTTAATCCAAGCGTTTCTAACTAATGGTGTAATAAAAGTCGTGTTGAACGGACACGCTTCCAGATCATTTCATATTAATGCGAGGCTCCCCTAGGATTCTATACTTGAACCTACACCGTTTCTGATCTAAAATAATGACCTCTTCGATTTTATCAGTTCCCATCTAGATGTCTATGCAGACGACACAACCATTTGCTACTGTTGGCTTAGTAACAATTCTGACAGATCCAACAAAATGAAACTGGCAACGACACTCGAAAAGGACATCCAAACATTTGTTAACTGGGGCAAGGAATAGCTTGTAAATTTTAACGCGTCCAAAATAAAACTACTTTCAATTAACCAACATAGAGAACCGGTTCTGCTTGTCATCAGCATGGTTGATGATAACCTTCACGACCTCATGTTTCCCACTGGCAAGAGGTGGTGCTATTTTATTGAATCAACTGCTACGTCTATCGAAAAGAAAATTGGTGTTGTACCAAGAAAATGTTCTCGTTAGAAACCTTCTTGCATATTGATATACTTTTCCGTGCATCGAATACTTCTGCCATATCTTGTCTGGTGCTCTTGCTGTATATCTTGAAAAAGAAGGTTCTGTAATCGATCCTGGCCAGGCATCTCAACTTAAGTCACTTTCTCACCGACGCGACGTGGATTCCTTCTATCCTTTCTACAAATATGTCCTTGGCAAATATTCTGAGGGGCTTTTTTACCTAGTATTTTGCTAAGTGAATTTAATCGTGCTAATCAACAAGGTCTCACCTTTTTACAGTTGAATAAGCTAAATGCAACCGTCCCTTCTATTCTAACAGAATTTTTCCTCTCGCATTTATCACCTGTGGAACTCCCTTCCGATTTTTTTTATTTCCCTGTTAAGTACAATTCTTCAACGTTAACGTTAATAGTCATCTTCTGTCTTCCTTGACCGTCTTCATTTCCTTATTGCCCATCACTAGAGTCTTCTTTCTCTTTCACTCCTTGTAACCCACTACGTCCTAGTGGCATTATCGGCTTGCTCGAGGTGAAACTGGTTGGAACCTGAAAAGAAATCAAAGAAATAATAATAATAATAATAATAATAATAATAATAATAATAATAATGCTGAAACTGCAAAATACTTAAAAAAGATAGCAAAGACGAATGCAACCGACCAGATACAGAAGCGATGGCAAGATAAACCGCTTCATGGCCAATACCCTGCCCGTACCAAACAAGCTGACGTAGACAAAACCCGTACCCATCAGTGGCTACATAGTGCAGGGTTGAACGTTGAAACTGAAGGTTTTATCCTTGCTGCACAGGACCAATGTTTGTAAACTAGTAATTATCAAGCACATATACTAAAATATTGTGTTAGCCGAAAATGCAAATTCTGTGATAAATATCCAGAAACGATTGATCATCTTGTGTAAGCTGCACGATATTGACACCCACTGAATATAAAACCCGGCATGACAGAGTGGGCCAATATCTGCACTGGAAAATCTGCAACTTCTACGGGAAGAAAACTGAAAGAAACTGGTATGAACACCAACCAGACCCGGTTACGGAGATAGGACCTGTTACAGTTCTATGGGACTACACAATACACACTGACAGAACAATCAAGGCCAACCTCCCAGACATTGTTATTAAAAACCACAAACAAAAAAGTGCCTCCTTATTGATATGTCAGTTCCTGCTGACTGCA